TTCGCCCATTCATTTTTGTCAATTCCAGCGACCTGATCGTTATTAACAACTACATTATGCTAGGACTGCGAATTCAGGCAACAGCAACCTCACACGTAAAAATACACGCGAAGGTGATATAGGCCAGCGTCGCGAAGTACGGCCAAATACATCAAAGGAGTTGTAAGCATGACAGTAGAGTTACGGTTGATGGACGCGGACTATGGGCTGACAGTCGGGTAAGTCAGAGAGGTCAAAAGGGCAAGGCCATAAAAAGTTGATGCAGGCATAGGGACATTTCGAGGTAAGCGACGTTAATGAAGCGTAACACAGAAGGCAGGCCATTTTTGAAGGAGCACTGATAGCGCAGCTGTGGAAACGGTCTAACTCTAGTCCTCCACGGAACACCATTTAGGGTATTGAAGAACCTGCTGAATGCCCGCCTTCCGAGCTCAGGGCCGAATGCCGGCGTAAAGGTGACCTCATCTTGCGAACTACTTTGGTTTAAAAGGAGTGAATACAGGCAGCTCGTTCGCCTATTATAATATAAGCATGAAATAAGAAGTAACGTTATAAAGCTAGGAGTTTTGCGCAAGGATCTTTCAAACTGAGTTGCCAAGAATAAAGAGAGTGCGGATAAGCGAATAAAGGAAACAATTTAAAATTAGAGCTAACCAGTATTGGCTACTATTCTGGTTGGCTTTCATGTCTAAAAAGTGTCACAAACAATCGTGAAACAGATCATGCTTAGCCGAATATCCAGATCTGTATAACTTATTGGTCGGATGAGAATTTGCATTCGTTTCATTCATTCGCTTTTCCAGTCTATTCATCTCGGGTTTTATTCAAGACTTGAGCCAAATAGACGACTCCAAACAGAAGATCTAATCAGAAAAGGTGAGTTAAGATCAGCTCGTTGGCGAACTGGTCCCAAATATAGTAGTCTGTTAAAAGGCCAGGGCATCCACCTAATGCTAGTAGTCATGTGGCTGATAACTCAATTAGTACTTTGAGGTCTGTCAGATTGCGCATTTTCTTAGCACTTAGATCTAGAGTCATGCAAACAGATAATGTATGAGTCTCAATGGTTTCAATTACACACAGTCCCAGACGGTGACGTACGATCATAACTATCTGTATGCAAACACAGACTGGCTAAGATGTGCAAAATTTAACCACGATGAAGAGTGCACTTGCTAAAGTAGACTCTAGAACGCCGGAAACGCACGGAAGAAAAGGTTGACCACGAACTAGGTCCCAACGCCAACC